GCAATAAATGAAATAAATAAAATTATATCTACTTGAAAACCCCGTTATGCTTAAAATGTAAGTCACATGTATTTCTAAGACCTATATCACACACAAATCAGAGGTAAGAAAATGAATATTTCAGAATGAGTATGTGATACATAAACATTTTGTCAGTCCTAAAGTGAGTGAGTGATGAGGTTCCAATAAAATACATACAGTCATGTGTTTCATTTATGTCAAGCAATTTTATCGTTTAGAGCTTTTGAATAAATGTATGACTTATTTTATTATATTAAAGAAAGCAAAGAATATGATGAGGAAAAATGCAATAGAATTGTTCATTTAATTTTTTCAGATTTAAGAATAAAAGAAAAAGTGATTTGACATTAAACAAATCAATAAGATGATACTGGATATTAACATAAAAAGGCGTCAAATAAGGAGTAACCGTAAAATACGGATAAAAGTCAAGTGATGCATCGGAACAAACGCGAGCGCGATGAGGACATCAGGCATAAACATTGAAGTTGCTGAAGTGATTTTCGTATTCTCAATTCATCATGTTTCAACTACAGACTTTTTTTTAAAGAATCAAACTTATTATTTGATTCCGCTAAAATATAATTCCGGGGAATGTATTAATATGTGTAATCAGTGTTTTGAGTTTTGTGTAATATAATATTGCGCAATATTACAATATTTGATGGATGGATTTCTGAGACATATTGTGCCATAAACTTCTGTTTGTTCATAATCTTTGGTATAAAATACTTAAAGCATGTCATGCTTCAAAAATGCTGTGCTGTTAGTTTTATTTATGTTTGGTATCTTGTTACCGTTTCATAAAAAATGTACTCACTCATTGTCCATATAGAACAAATTTGTGACTGATATATTTTGGGACATATTGTGCCTTTAAATTTTTTACAATTTTGATACTAGCTTTTAACATCCAATATCTTTTTTCATAAACATCTTTTCTTAATATGTTTAATATGTTTCAATGTTCAAATTGATTTTTTATTTTTGTTTCTGATTTTCGATATCAGTTAGGAAATTAGATTATGAGATCAGAATTCTCCAATAATAATTTATTAGTTATTTTTATTACATTCGATGAATGTTGAGTAATATCAACTTTGTTTTATTTTGTGTTTGTTTGAGTAACAATGCATGATATTTTATGAAAAAATTGAAACTTTAATCTCTTTCAATGCTATGCATTATGCAAAAATATTATTGCAAGTTAAATGTTTTTTTTTTTAATAAAATAAATACAGAAAATGCACACAAACAACGTGGGGAAAAACGATCTAATAAAGCATATCATTGAACATACGTTTGAATATATTAGAACTATAACTGTAATAACAAAGCAGCCTGGTTTAAAACGGCCGAGAATTTTTAAGAAACTTTTGTTGTTAGATAAGATTAATAGTTTAGATTCATTTTCAGTTATGGATCCGTTTGTTTTTTATTTAAGTTTAACTTGTACTACATAATAGTTATCATAAAGTAAGAAATGTATATTTTATTATAATATTTTTAAAACGCATTCATTCTTTTTAATGAAATACCTGAAGATAGTGTAAACTTAAAGTTTGACTTTCATTATTTCTGCGTAATGCGTAATGGACTATTAGTGCTAGCATTTCTTAGGCCAGTGTATTTATTGACATCTAGCGAAAATGATTAATGTGAAATCGAATGTCAGTAAAATGGACATTATTTTACAACTATAGAGACTAGAATGAAAGCTTATACGTTTTGCAACTTCTTTGAGTAAAGATATTTTAGAACATTGAATTGTCACTTTTGGAACATAAATGCATAGCAAACAGTTATCTGTTAAATGTCCGCATAATCTTGAATATTATTTCAAAATTATTAACAGTTGAAGATGTGTCATATTACCATAACATCTTTTGAAAGAAAACGTTGGTTGAGTGAGCTCTGTCTTCTTTCTGAACCGGGTTATATAATATGATATTTACTCATCATTAAAAACAACAGATTTTCATGACACAAAAATCACATCATCTCATATATTATTAATATTGATATACCGCATTTTTATTACATTTTAACCATTTGATGTTTTAATCACATTTCAAATCACTTTATATTACATCAATAACTTAATATGTATTTTTTATTGTAATTAATTAATTAATTAATTAATTTATTTTATCTTTATTTATTCATTTTACTTAATAATTTACTTATTATTAATTTATATATGCATTTATATTTATTCATTTATTTATTTACTAGTATTCATATAGTTATTTATGTATTTACTTAAATTTACTTATTTATTCATCCCTTTATTTATTTGTTTATTTATGAATAATTAAAAAAATAAAGTAGAAATCTTCCTATCATTAAATGCTATATTAACTGCTTTTATTACACTTATTTTACGAGTAAATTACCTGTTCATTTTGTTAAAAGTTAGAAAGAAAAGGAGCTTATCTTTCACCTCTTTGTCACTTCAAACAATTTTTCTATGCCCATACTGTATTAATGGGTAATTTGGAAACACATCCCGGTAAATATAACAATTATATTGTTAAAGCGCAATATGTTTTTCTGATATTTATTTTAAGACTTCTAAGCATAGTTACTGTAGTAAAATGAGAAAAATAGTATAATATTATACTAAAAATAACTGACTAATTTTTTCTCATTTTAATATCATCATTATTATAATTTGTTTATTTTTGTTATCATTATTATTTTATTTATCTAAATAAATATTATATTTTTGCGCTATTATTTTTTTTCTAAAAAAGGTGATAATTAATGTTAATAATGATTACACTTTAGGTAAATGGATAAGTATTTTGTATAAATAGATAGCTGATTGACAATAATATGTTACTACTAGCTTAAAAAATATAATATCAATATCAGATTTAGATAGCTTTTAACTATTTTCTTCTTATTTTTGTTGTTTATTTACTACATATTTTCATTGTAACAATATGATGTATGATGGAAAATGTTAAATAAAGTAACGAATTGTTACAAAAATAAAACAAATGTTTGCTTTATATTATTTCTCTCCATTTTGTCGTTGATCATATCATCTTCAATAAAACAGGGGTAAACCATATATCATGAAACATTTTCATCTCCATAAATAACAATCAAAGGCAAAGATCATACTAACGTATGAGGAATGCGATGAAAAATGTATCATGCATATTCATTTAATTGAACAGTATTAGCCCATGTGCGAACACTATACTATTTTCGAAGAATGAACTGCATTAATGACAGTATTACTTATCCTTTTAAAAGTATAAGAAATATATTCTTCTTTGTATACGTATGTGTTCATCAAATAACTCCGAACAACCATTTCCAACATTATCATTAGAAAATAAACCCATATAAAAGGATAGAGGAATATCATCCGTAAAACGGACAGGTACAATGCGTTTGAGGTTTAAAAGATAGGCGAATTGTTCTCCTATGTCAGCCAACACTCTATCTCTCTCTCTGCATGTCAATTTATTGCTGAAAAAGTGCCTTTAGGTCGACCCCCGGAAAAAGGACATCTGGAATTTCCTTTTTTATTCTGGAACGCATTATATAATTTTTAGTTATGTAGATGTAACATGTAGTTATAAAAGATTTAACACAATGTAATAAGGTAAACAAGATTGATAATTACTTATAAATCATGAGAGAACTGACTAATGCTACTTACTTGTTGTTGTTGTTGTTGTTGTGTTTGTTATTGTTGTTTTCTTATTCGTTATTTGTTTCATTTTTTGTAGTTGTTGTTTTGTTGTTGTTGTTTGTTGTTATTTAATTGTATGTGTGTTTGTAAGTCTGTTTGTTAGGGGAGATATTGAAAATGTTTTCTGAGTGTTTAACTCAACTTCTACGATAAAATAAGTATGACAAATTATTGGTAGAAGTACACAATAATTATACTTGACACTGATAACAATCATTGCAAAGCTAATGGGGGAACTATTAGCTGGGGAAATAAGACACGGCCTTTCATGCTGTGTTTTTATACAAAATATTAATATACAGCAATAAAACTATGATTGCGGAACAAATTGCAAAACCGTCGTGTTTATTGTCAATTGACACGACCAGTATAGTAATAAAAGATACCAGTGAGTATTTGAGTAATGTTAATTCAAAACATAGATCTTTGTCTGCATCATTAATGGTGATTGCATGTATTCAATAGTCTATAAAAGCTTTACATAAGTCACTTTGTTTCATGACATACTAGGTAACCATATTATGATAAAAATATTGATAATTCAAATGCAAGCAAAAGCTTGTGACTGGTTTTCTTTTAGATTTGTCTATGATATTACATTAACAAGTAAAACAGGTTTATTTTGAAATTATTTTTTATAGAAAATGTTCATCGCAGAATTTTCAGATCATAGTTCTGAACTATTTACATTGACAAACAATTTTCATATAGTTATAAGTACATTTTAAAAAATGGTTTACGCCCAGCAAAATAGTAAGATGTGTACAATTTAATGTAAATACGCTCAAGAAAACAGCACAGAGTGTTAGCAATGTGTTGCTTCAAACTTTTCATAAAATGTCCAACTGAATAGAATGACATTGTTTTTGCGCTTTAACGTATATTTATTATGCTATTTTATATATGTGAATAACAAATGCTTAATGAATGTCTTATCTAATTATTTAAGTAGGTAATATCTTGACAATAATGTTTGATACGCCTTATCATTTTTCTGACAAAAATTGAGACATTTTCGACAAAAGAAATATGCACACCTTTCTTTCACATCTTTCTCTATGTCTTTAACTGTAGGAGGATTGCCATTCGGCTGGACTGTATCACACTCATTAAAGGCGTAAAATTGTATTCAAACTCGACCATCGGGCACCTTTTGCACTCAATACCACAAGCGATACAACCTGCCCGAATATCACGCTCATGCACCTTTTCTATATAGGTAAAAGGAAAATAAGGAACGTAAAACAACATTTAATACTAGTTTTACCAGTGTCGTCTTTGTTTTCTGTTATTGAAAAGCCAGGAAGATGACCATATGACATCCATGACGTAATTTCCGGTAATTCGATTGTCCTTTCAGATAATGTAAATCCTGAAAACATTTATGCCATCAGTTTTTGATAATGGAAATTATACCAAAATATCTATGTAATTATGTGTTTGACATAAAATTTATATATCAAGAAGAGATAACGTTTAAAAGTCTATTGTTCCCCACCTTCAATAAATAAGGTCAGATTTTCTATACTGACCTTATGGTAAGTTGATTGTTTACTGAGACGACATCTTTTAGGCATTTCTTCCTAGTTACATATGTACTTAGTCATATTTGCTACTCAATAAATAGGTACTTTAAGTATATATGTACCCACTAAATGCAAAGTTTTTATCCAAAAAGTTTATAAGTCTTATGCCATTTGTTAAAAAATATGTAGGCGTTTTGTCAGATTTTAAGCCTCTTTACTGTTAGTTGACATGCAATTTCTGTTACTTTAAAGTATCCTTGAAACTGTGATTTAGTTTTCTCTAAGTTATCTTGAATTTGTAAAGCTATTCATTTTAAGTTATATTCATATACCAATAACCCAATTGTCTGTAATTTATATCTTATAACAATCATAAACGTATTCTCTTTAAGTTATGTCTGATACAGAGTACTCAATTGTATGTAAGTTATATATAATTACAATTATAAACGTAATCACTTTAAGTTATGCCTGATACAAAGTACCCACTTGTCTGTAAGTTTTATTTAATAACAATAATTAACGTATTCTCTTTAAGTTATGTCTGATACAGAGTACTCAATTGTATGTAAGTTATATATAATTACAATTATAAACGTAATCATTTTAAGTTATGTCTGATACAAAGTACCCACTTGTCTGTAAGTTTTATTTAATAACAATAATTAACGTATTCATTTTAAGTTCTGTCTGATACCCATTATCCAATTGTCTGTAAGTGATATCATATTGCAATAAAAAAGTATTCACTTTAGGTTATGTCTGATACCCATTAACCCATTGTCTTTAAGTTATTTCTAATAAAAATAATGAACGTTTTCACTTTAAGCTTTATCTGATACTCATTACCCAACTGTCAGTAAGTTATATCTTATTACAATAATAAACGTATTCACTTAAAATTATGTTCGATCCCAATATCTGATAAAAAATAAATCTCATTTACTTTACGTTATATCTGATAACAATAATAAACGCATTTATTTTCAGTTATTTCTGATAAAAAATAACACCTGATTACTTAAAGTTATATCTAGTGACAAAAAATCCATTTCCTTATGACATAGCTAAACAATATCATAATCACTTACCAATAGGACAGTCCTTCCCGTCACCAAATATAGAGTAATGTGCATTTGGCCAAGTTGACTGGTTCATTTTTACAGACTCGTCTTTAATTTTGAAGCAAAAGTTCAGCCTCCATTCATAAGCATTAAATGGTCCCCGCAAAATGCTTTGTCTAGCCCATTCATCAGGGGGCAAAATTGGTGAGCAAATATGCCTTTTTGTTTCATTCGTTATCATGGCGTTTTCGGGTTTGATGTTTTCAATGTTAAAATCGCAGTAAGACACCGACGTCATTATATGAGGCTGTTTCCAGGTGAATGAGATGTATCCTTGTCTCCAACCCAGCCGGCCTGATTCTGGGCAGCCAATGCTTGGGATCATCAGAGCGAATGGTCCTGGTGGCCACTCACTGGTCTCATGTGTCCAACCTACATGTTAAAAAGTGTGTGCATTGAGAGACTTATAATTGAGCATCGTTTTGGGTGTGATACAAATATTACCAACAGTCTTTGTCATCCATCAACTTTCAATTGACATAAATAAAAGTTAAGGAGAGTCAATATCTTACAGAGTTATTGTGCGTATTTTCATTTTTTATTTTTGAATAAACTCTTCTATGTCTGAGAAAAATAATCAATGACAGATTTTAATAAAATTGCTCCTTTTTATAAGTAAAATTCACGATCTATCTGAAAGAATTCGAATTAGGTGTGTTGGGGTGGGGAGGGGGTCACCCGATTACAAGATTAGCACATTTCTGTTTCATTCTCGAACGATTTTAGAAAGCTGTCTCCATTTTATAGCGCGGCAGACCTATTTATTTAGGCATTTTGCCTTTCAGTTACTATTATACATTACTAAATATGTGTCAAAGGAAAAAACTTAATTTGTATAATTTGACATTATGTTATTAATGGCATTCACGCCATTTAGTTTGGCATTTCATATTCAGTTTGTTCAAACACTATATATCACCATAAAAGAATTAGCTCAATTACTATCATTCAAATTATTTCCCCAAAGTATATGTTACATTTACACTTTCCAATAAAAATGGTAGTAAAAGCGTAAAAAACTGTCTTCTTCTGATATGATTGGGCTTTAAATGAAGTTATTTGGCTGTGTGAACGTGAACAGTGGCATGTGTCGACTCTTGACATTTAAAGTTTTTCCTGTCTATATTGGCACCGCTGGTATTTGGAAATTGCTTCTATTTTGGTAGGAATAAATATTTGACTATATCTTTTATCTATGCTCACTAATTCTAGTTACACTCCATAACAGTCATCAAAAATGAAATATAATCATGCTTGCAAACGTTGCGTTTTCTAGACGTTGCTTTTCCTTGATGGTCTATACACGATATATTGTTTTTATGCCGTTTTTATTTCTTTTACGAGGTGCAATAATATTGTATCAAAACCTATTTTCATTTTGTAATTATAGCAATATCGAAAGGTATACATAAGACAAGTTTTTTTTTATTTATTACGTTGCATCAGTTTCCTTTCAATGATGATGTGGTCCGAATACTCTGAGTTTCGTGAAGATGGAGTGCATCAGTTTTTTAAGCAAGAATGTACCTTTCTGATTTTAGCTGTGTATGCGTGCGTGTGTGCGTGTTTGTAAATGCGAGAAATATTTGTCTGTTAAGGTTCCAATATTTTTATTGATTATTCATTTTTAAGACATGACTTTTATTTGAAATATTTGTCTTTAAACGTATTTCAGTGAGGATCCGCGCAGTGTGATCAGGATCCATGCTGTTCGCTATCGGTTTCTTTACTTGTTACAGAGTTTGTAAGCGAACAGCATGGATCCTGATCAGACTGTGCGGATGCGCAGACTGGTCTGGATCCATGCTGGTCGCAAACCCACTATGTTGGTTTTGTCGTGACGCTGCTCAAATATGTAATTAAAAAAACTATAGAAATAGAATTAATACCTACTGGATTCACTTTCATACTGATCCATTGGTATACAGGTTGTGTTATCCAGTCCACAATACATGTAATCAAAATCAGAGAACGTTGTAGCTGCGGCTGTGTTGACTGAAAGGCAGAAACATAAGTATAAAGAAAGCAATAATTTAAAAAAAATCAAAAAATATTAGTTAAGGTAGTGATAATGTTAAAGCGACACTATGCTCATTATATTGCTGTCAAATTGAATGGAATGGGTAAAATAACATATTGCAACGAATGGCTGTGATAACGGTGATTTGTCGAAAATTGATAATGAAAAATTTGTGTCATACAAAATGAAAACTACGAATAATATAAAAGGACTGCCATCAACAACACCATATACTTTTTTAATATCAGACACACATGTTATAACAAGACTATTTTTTTCTCCTCTTGAAATATGGGTAAATAAATCGGGACGGGTATATACCTAGTTAATAAGTAACATGTCTATGTTTGTTTGTTTGTTTGTTTCATTTTACGCCTTTTCCCAACAGTATTTCAGTCATATAGGCGGGTAGTTTCCTAACCATCGTTCCTGGAGAGTTACACCAGTACTAGACTACCTTCCTCCGCGCTTAACTACCAAAGCATCTCCCGGGGATCGAACCCACGCCAGAGAGGTAACTGGATTAGAAGTCATCGACTCTAACCCCTCGACCACGGAGGCGGTCTAAAATGTCTATAAATTTAACACAATATACTAAACTTTGTAGAAGCTTGTCAACCTCATCATTTGTAATTGACTGGTAAATAGGCACGTTGGGCCCGGTCCGCAGAAAACTAAATTATGTAAGGAGAATTAGATCACGTGGAAAGCGTGGACAAGTAAGGTTTTTCATTGACTAGTGAATATGTTGGAAGAATTAAATCACGAGTAAATTATAGTAGGAAACGTACTTTGTTATTGACCAGTGCCCGATCACTCTTTTTTAAGAATTGAGGTTTAATGTCTCTTGAAACAAAATAATTCTTAAAATAAGTCCTAGAAAAGTCTATTGAACTAAGTCTTTAATCTGCATGAAATGTTAATTCCAATTTTCGCACTGACAAAAAAAAGATATGATCATAGTTAAATGCAAAACGATTTCGGACAGTAAGGTGTTGTAAAATCAAAGCCATGAAATAGAAAATATTGATATATTAAATGCATCTTATAATTATAATAATTATAAGGTTACAATTTAATAGTATTAAATATCACTTGTATTCATTTATAACAATCATATATTACAGTTCACTAAAAGTAAACATGGCCATATTAATTTGTTAATTAAATTATAATAAAGGATCATACATGCGTATTTACTTGCAATTTTACACATAATACTTGCTGCAAATTAAATTGCGGCCTGTACGTTGTAAATTGTTAATATAAATAGAGGATCTTGAATGAGTGTTTATGTTGTATTGAATTTATTAAACGAGTCATCTGAAAACAATAAAAACGAGGCTCTGCCGAGTTATTATCGCTTTCAGATGACGAGTTTAATAAATTCAATACAACATAAACACGAAATTAAGATTCTAATTATAACATGACCAGATACAGCGCCGTCATAAACGAAGAAAATAAATTGCTGTGCCTTTTTCTATATAAGGAGAAATGGGTCGAAGTTGTTATACGGTTTCTGACCCTCATGCGCTGAAAAGAGTAGTACCAGTTTAAATCAGTTTTTTTTAAGGAAAAATTATTGTGCTTACTGACATATAATATCACAATTATTTCGTCAAATTCATAACATGTTTTACAGCAATAAGAAGACTTAATATCATTCAATTGTAAAAATATCACATTGTCAACATCTTACTCATGACGTCACTGTTCTTGATCACCGGCATCTTGCATATGGACTCGAATTTAATCACTATCGCTGTCTATGTATCGTGCAAGTTTGGGGCCTGAATTTTGATTTAATGTGGATTCATTTTGATGAACATGAAATGTTCCACCATGTATGGGAGCGCTGAAAATACTCTGAAACCCACCAGATACATGAAGATTAGACCTTGAATCGGTGTTGACATGTGCTGTGTTATGGTTTAACTGTGCAGAATATGAACACGGATATGGAATTGGATTCGCTCGATTGTTTTCCTTTACATTGGAATGAAGGATGTCGGATATGTGTCTGTGCTGATTCTGATTTATGTGAGTATAATTGTTGATGGATTCTATATTCTTATGACCGGATATTTGCATAATTTGGTTAGGAGGAATGTTACTGTCGTTCAATTTTTGAACAAGGTATTCTCGTGCACTGTGATTAGTAAGGCGTTTACTTGAGTTTAAACCCGAATGCTGAATCATTCTCTTCATTATTGATCCTAGTTTGTTGATTCCGACTGGATTTCGTTTGAACCAGGGATCACGGGTTGAAGGTAAGTGGATAGTTGTAGTTGCAATATAATATGGATGGTCAAATTCAGAATAATTCATTGGACGTTTTTCAGCGTTCAATTTGTAAACGGCAATCGGGCATCGATCATGATTTACAGCTTTTGCCCACATCTTAGGTTTTATTACCCTCAGATCTCTCGAATTTTCACCGGACCTTGTTTTGGTTTGTCTCTCCGAAAATTGCAAGTATTCATGTCCGTTATCATCGGCCATTAATGAAACATCACCCAACACATATCACGATGTTCTTGACAACTTCTAAGTCCACAATGAATGGTATTGTACAACCAAAGTGTTTGAAGGATAGTGTCCGGTGTTCTTGTGCCAAGTTGGTCTGAGTTCCATAAATGGTCTTTATCTTTGTCAGTCAGCAGTTCACTTTTTTTTGGCAAGTTACCCCTCCCATCATGTTTAAGCTGTCGTTGTTTCATAGACAGTGTCTCTTGAACTGTCGCAAATCCAGGGCCCAAAGCAATGGTTTGTTCATAACCTTTACGACGTAACTGCCAATCAAAACTATATATCATTCCGCGCAGGACTGAAGGCTCATACTCGTCTCCATTTTGCTTTCTGACACTGACTAAAAACCGGCAAGGTAATGAGGACAATTCATTTTCTGGAATTTCATAAATTCCACGATTTTCGTTTATCTCAGGTTCTTCAAAGAAAGATTTCAGAATTTTCAAATCATTAACAGTTTTTATGGGAGTGTTTTTATTACTTTGCTCGTGGTTAAAGACGTCAACATCAGAGTCAGAGACAATAATAAATCTGGACCTTGGCCGTGGAGTCTGTTCAGACATAGCGTTCATCTCGTCGGTAGGCACAATCGTCAATCTCTCCCTTTCAAGTTCATCTTCAAAGTTACTGTCAACTAGCCTGACCATGTAGCTCGTGGTGAACCCGCGGTAAACTATCTCAGTGACGATTCCAAGGCCGATTTGACAGCGCGTAGTGATAGTGAGTCGGCTCATTAGCATATTTATTATACTAGTGTATTACTGACCCATTTAATACGTGAAATAATGAATGGGTTTACAACACTCCTGTACCG